CAAGGTGTTAAGTCGCAGCCATTTTAAAAATAATTATGAGTCTCTCTTTTCCTGGATATTCTTTTGGAGTTACACATTAAATAAAAAGGATTCTTCTCACCCAGTTCCATACAGTGTTCACCAATTCCGCTCCAGTTAGGATTAGAGGGCTAATCCTACCTTTGTTGGATTTTGGGTGAGGGCATTTGGTTAGGAATAGACCTAGCTATCTCTTAAGTGCAGACATCTGCTGTGGGCTATTGAGGAGGGTGGGGGCTATTAAGAGTGAGTTTGTTTCCTGCCTAAAAAAACATGTTTCTCCATTTCTCATCCAGGGAAATATATCACAGGCGTTCCTTTCCAGGCAAATCAAACTCGGAAACAAGGTTACTTGCTGCAGGTTTTAATGCGGCCGCAGTCCGGCAGGACTGAGTTTGGCAGATACAAAGTCAGCGCTGGGAGCTACTGCCAGCGTTGTAAATAGCTCTGAATTAACATAGGCATGCCCACGGCCCAGTCCACCTCCATAGCCAGCATCCGGCTGTGTTTATTCCTCCTCTTGGTCTCCCTGGCTATCATGGCGCAGGCGCAGCCATTAGGAACCACAGAAGCTACGAAACGGCGATTCACAGTCCTCCGCCCTTCCACTGTGCCACCATCAACACCACTCAGCTGATGGAAAAGGGCCCACTGGCCAAAGGAGCAAGAAGCCGTTGGGAGCACCTGGGACGTCAGGTGCTGAAGCCACGCCACTCCCATAGCCGTCACGCCGCCCCCGGCAGCCCCCAGGTATGGCAAGCCAGGGCTCGACAACATAATATTCTGCCTTTTTAATATTTCCTAAAATATTTCATTCTTCTAGGAGAGGGGTGGGTGCTAACTTCTGTAAGAAGAAATATCCTTCTGGGTTCAGCTCCAAGTGGGGAAAGACACTGGAAACATGGAGACTGCTTGGAAAGATGGTTTAATGGTGGACAGGATCACATGGTTGAGTTCCTGAACAGAAAAGGGGCGACATACAGCGAGTCCCTGGGTTTTTATGCTGTCTCTGGCTTTGAACTTCCTGGGGCCCTGAAAGTGTACCTTGATTGGTTTTATTTATTTATTTATTTTTATTTTATCTCGAATTTATATACCGCACCTTCTCCCGAGGGACTCAGGGCGGTATGCAGCCAGATAAAAACATAGAATATAAACATTAAAAAACAATTAAAAGGATATTAATTTGGCCCCAATTTAAGATAACAAACCAATTAAAAATTAAAAAAATATTAAAAAATATGTTAAGCCAGCCCGGCTTGCTGAAAAAAGAAAGTTTTAAGGGCACGGCGGAAGGCACCGAGGTCTTGGATCCTCCTTATCTCAGGGGGCAGCTGATTCCAGAGGGTAGGTGCCCCCACAGAGAAGGCCCTCCCCCTGGGGATCGCCAGCCTACATTGTTTGGCTGATGTCACCCCGAGGAGGCCCTCTCTGTGGGAGCACACAGGTCGGTGGGGGTCTTAGCTAGCCTTGCTGGCTGATGTAATCTTCCCAGGTGCCATGTGGTGAGTTTCTGTCCTAGATGGGTCCTGTTGTGTTAGCTTCTGTCCCTAGATGGGTCCTATTGTGTTGCATTGACAAAGATTGAGTTTCTGCCTCTGGCCCAGTGATGGGATTCAATTTCTTTAACAACTGGTTCTGTCGGCATGGCTTAGTTGGGGGTGTGGCTTGGTGTTAATGTGACCGGGTGGGCGTGGCTAGCTGGTCATGTGACCGGGTGGGCGTGGCTAGCTGGTCATGTGACCGGATGGGCGTGTGGCTAGCTGGTCATGTGACCGGGTGGGCGTGGCTATCTGCATAGGGACTACTCAGAGGGCTGAAAAAAGTCCTTTCTGACCAGTCCTCGCACTTATGACCATCCTCACATTTATGCCCGTTGCGGCATTCTTAACAACCGTGTCACTCATTTCACAACTGCTTCTCTTCATCATGGTGACAAGATAGGGCAAAAACGTAAAATGTGAGGACAGTCGTAAGTGCGAGGACCAGTCAAAAATAACTTTTTCAGCCCTCTGAGTAGTCCATATGCATAAAAGGATGCAGCAATAGAGAGGGATGAAGGAAGGGAAGGGAAGTTAGAGTAGGAGCGAAGGTAAGAGAGGGAGGAAGAGAGGAGGAGAAGCAGAAAGAGGAAGTAGGGAGGAGAAGAAGGGGGGAAGAGAAAGTAAAAAGGAAAGAAAAGACAGAGGTGGTAGGTTTCAGGAGAAAGATTGCTGTACAATAAAAAAGATGAAAGGCAAGAAAGCCAACCCCAAATAAATATAAAGATATTAAGATAAAGAATGAATTGTTAAACTTTAAAGAATAAAAGAGAACAAATATGAATAAATAGCAATAATTAGAAACACACATACAAACATATAATGTATTTTCTTTGAACAGAGTATTTGGCCAGTTCACAAATTTAAATAGTGTTTAGTCATTTCAATTAAATTTACAATTTCTATATTTCCTTTTTGCCATATTTATTCCTCATCTATTTTTTAAAAAAACCAATATTACCCTTCATCCTCATCTCTAATCTTAATCAAATTCAATTTTTCCCTTCTATATTATACCCCTTCCCATTGTCATCTATTTTTATATTCATCCTCACATTGGTTAATTATGTAATATTAGTTCTTTAATACAAATTCAACATTTAAATATAAATCAATTAGTTATATAACTATCTTTTTTTGTATATTAATCAATATGAACATGAATATTCCAATTATTTCCATGCAATCCAATTTCTTACAAATCAATTAATTATATTTACCAATAATAATAAACCAAATAATTTCCCCCATATATTCCTCCAAACCACAGCTTAACCATTTCTGCTTTCAACACAATATACAATTAATAGTATCTCAATTATTACAATTCCCTAGTTAAGTAAGCTTTTTTTGTGTGTGTTTTAAAATCTTGAACTCTCCTCTCTTGCCCTAAATTTTCCATTGTTTGCAGTTTTGCACCTACCTTTTTTGGTGAGGAAAAAGAAAAAGAAATCTCTCTCTGCCTCATTTTGTCACCTTGCAGCAAAGACCCTGCTTTACTTTCAGTTTCGCTTTTTCAGCATAGCTAGGGGGGAAAAAATCTGCTCCAGCACTCTTTGCAGATAGCAACAGTGCTGCGAGGCACAGGCCAAAGGGTGGGAGCCACCCTCCTTGCCACTTAGCCCCCCCTGCCGCCCCCCTTGCCTCTTACCGCCCCCTAAGGCATTCCACCGCCCCCCAGGGGCGCCCACTTTGGCAACCACTGGCTTAACTACTTAACTACTTAACAACTGGTTCTACCAAAGTAGAATCCCACCACTGGATCTACCCATTTATTTTTGCAGGCGTTGGTCTACTCATTTGTTTTCTTTTAACACTGATCAGCTCTAGGGTGGCCCTTTGAAGCCCCGTGGCAGTTGCGAGGCCAATAAAATTATAAAAAACACTGAACTGTTTGTTCAATTGCTGGCTCGCCCACCCCTCACCCAGTGGTGCAGAGGGGCGGGGCAAGGGGTGGGACAAACCAGCAATTTAACAAACGGTTCAGCCGAACTGCCTAGAACCGGCAGAATCCCACCACTGCTCTGGCCCATTGACAAAAGGGGGGCTGGCAGGAAGGTGGGAGTTGCTTTGTCTTTAAAACATGCTTCTCCATTTCTCATGCAGGGAAACATAATATTCTGCCTTTTTAATATTTCCCAAAATATTTCATTCCTCTAGGAAAAGGGTGGGTACTAACTTCCTACACTTCCTACAGCTATAAACATCCATCCACTCATTCAGCCAGTCCGTCAGCTACCTGGAACCACAGGTTGGTTCAGCTCATCAATAAACAGACTTCGTTGCTTAAACAGCCTCCATTTTATTCCCAGCTTGGACCTGGACCTGGATTTTTCTTCTAACAGGATGTAGAGCAGTTTTGATCTTCACTGAGAGTCACACCAAAAAAAGATCAGGAACTTCTAGATCAGCTTTTTACAAAGTAGCACCCTCCAAGGGTTTTGCCCAAGGTGTCTGCCTCGGAAAAATCGAGGTGGAAATGTAGCTCCTCTGGAAATTGAGGAGGTTGCTCAGAGCAATTCTTTAGGGTGTGCAAGAATGGAGATAAAAAGATATGTAGGAAGTTAGCACCCACCCCTCTCCTAGAAGACTGAAATATTTCAGGAAATATTAAAAAAGCAGAATATTATATTTCCCTGAATGACAAATGGAGAAACATGTTTTTAAGCAGGAAATGGACTCACTATTAATAGCCCCTATCATCCTCACTTAAGAGATAAAGAGATTGCTAGATCTATTCATAGGCAAATGCTCTCACCCAAGATCCAACAAAGGTAGGATTAGCCCTCTACCCACCTAGCAACAGAACTCTCCACATGGCGGCTGGGAAGATTACATCACACAGCAAGGCTCAACCAAGCATGGGACTCAGGACAGCCTACAGCTCCTGAGAGTAGGAAGAGAAGGACAAGAGGGAGAACATATCAGAAAGGGATCCAACCTAGAATCAGGGAGAAACTTCCTGTCAGTCGGAACAATTGATCAGTGGAATGGTTTGGCTCCAGAAGTTGTGGGTGCTCCATCACCCGTGTTTTTTAAGAGGCGACTGGAGAGCCATTTGTCCGGAACAATATAGGATCCCTGCATGGAGAATTGGTCCCTTCCAACTCTTATTCTGTAATTCTTTAATAACTTTATGAGCGTTTAAGGCTCAGCCTGTAGCTAATCTTCCCAAGTTAAGAAGGGTCACGTTCCACTATTTCACTCGCATCGGCTGCCAGGAGTGGAAAGTGACTTGAGGGCGTGGAATCGGAGAAAACGTCTCGCAAACGCCTTCACAGGTGGAGACGGGACGAGCCTGTTTTACGGCCTCCTATCGGGAGATGGCGGTCAGATGGGCAACATCGGCGCCTAGGAAGCCGTCGCTACAGAGGCATCTGGGGCTGAGCCTTAAGGAGTTAAAACCATCAAGCACTGCATTGCGAGGAGGGAGGGGAGGGGAGGGCTGGATCTACCGGATCGCTCGCGGGAGGAAGGTGGTGCGCCGAGTGGCTTCTCTGCTCTTCCGAGAGCCGAAGCAGCAGCTGGTGGGTGAGTGGAGGGCAGGTCGGAGGAGAGGCTGGGAGCAGGAAAGGCTGCTTGATTTCCTCCGCTGCGTGGAAGCAGAGAAGCAACCGGAACATAGAATAGAATATAGAAAAACAGAGATGGATGGGACCTTGGCGGTCATGACTAGATCTACCCAATTCCTACAACTGTTCTTCATATGTTTTCGCCTCAAGCCCCCAGTCATGTTTGTTGCTCTTTCATTCCTTCTTTAGGCATCATTTACCAATTAAAGCCCCCACATCTCTAAAATTAGCACGGAAGGTTTGACTGTAACCATTTTGGGTTTTGGGACAGCTTTCAGGCAGAAAACACATGGATTCTCCACATATATACATACTTGCAGGAGTGTCTATTTGTACTTCTCTCTGTATGCATCTATCTAAATTGTATAATCCATTCCTAGGACTTCTAGATATATTTCATAATAACCCTTTGCAGTGTTAAGAATTTCTTTTTAACCAAATATTTTATTAATTCATCAAAATGTAAAATACGGAAGTACAAAGAAGAAATAAAAATAATGGAAAAATGGAGGAAGAGAGGAAAGTGTAGGGGAAAGGGGAAAGGAAAAAGAAAAGCATTGTCTTCTGACTCTTTTGCTGCAGTAGAATAATAATATAAAACCTCAACTGTTTACTTTTATCTGATAATATGAACTAGCTACTTGTATAACAACAAACGTATTTAATCAACAAAACCCAAAATCAGACTTTCATTTTTTTCTATCTCAGGAACAAAGTCCAAAAGCGGTTTCCATGTAGAAACAAAATTAATCCTGTTCTTTTCTTTAATCAAAGCAGTCAATTTAACCATCTCTGCTAACCATCAGATTTTGCAGCCATTCAGCCATTGTGGGAATGAAAATATCCTTCCATTTTTGTGCATATAGCATTCTTGATGCCAACAACACATATGACATCAAAGTTTCAATGTTTTCAATTTCTTTATCTACTAAAAGAAAACTTTCTGGTTTTATCATTATATTCTCTATAAGAATCTTCTGTATTAAGATGTGAATCTTAATACAATATTTCTTTGTCACATGTCCACCATAAATGATAACATCTCTTATTTACATTTCCAACATTCAAGGTGCCTTATACATTCTTGAGAATTTCTTCAATGGTAGATACCAACATCATAAAACCATTTGGTATAGAGCTTCCTGCCTGAGCAGGAGGTAGGACTAGAAGACCTCCAAGGTCCCTTCCAACTCTGTAATTCTGTTACATTCTTCCAGTGTTCAAGCATTATATTAAATCCAAAGTTCTTTGCCCACTGAATCATACAATGCTTTACATACGCATTCTGCAAGTTAAGTGTCAGGGTTCCAAGTAACACCCTCAACCAATGAAGATTCCAAGGCAGGCAATTCCTCAAAGTTCCAATTTATTGAAGATGTCATATTGGCACATCTGGGAAAAACCAAATCTGAACACTTCTGGTTTTCGCCACCTAAAATTAAGTCATAATTCCATCCCCTGCACCCACATGTCCATCACACGATCCAATCACTCCACCTTCCCAACTGGAGACATCCCCCAGTCATGCCTATTCAGGTGGAGGCTGAACGTACTTGACTCCCAGAGAAAAGAATGTTGTTATGGCTATCTATCCCAACCAGCACACAATCCCCCACTCCTGATTTCCAGGCACTAAATATGGCAGCTTTTAAAATCCAAAAGAAAGAGTTTCAGTTATAACATTTAAAGTGTGAAAGAGAAATATTCATTGGAAACCTTCAGTCTCAAAAGACACTGGTATTGTGCTCTGGAAAGAGGTCCTAAAACAGCATCTGGTGTGACTAAAAGGGCCAGTTCGAGAGTGGCAATCCCTTCCACACTGAGAGCAGATACTGTACATTCTGTCCCCTGCCCAGCTCCCAGATTTTGCTGGTTCCGAGACTGCCTCTTTGCCTCAGCCTGCCAAACAAGTGTTTCTTCGAATTGAAGAAGGCCATGCTGTATCTTTAGCCTCCAAGCTGAATGATCAGAGGTCAAGGTTTCCCAGTCATTAATGCTCATTCCCAAAGCCTTTAGATCCCTCTTGCAGATATCCTTATATCGCAGCTGTGGTCTCCCTCTAAGGCTCCCTCTAAGACTCTCTCTCTAAGGCTCCCTCTAAGACTCCCTCTGTGGTCTCCCTCTAATCCTGCACTAATTCTCCATACAGGAGTTCTTTCGGAATCCGACCATCAGCCATTCTCACAACATGTCCAAGCCAGCGTAGACGTCGCTGTTTCAATAGTGTATACATGCTAGAAATTCCAGGACATTCCAAGACTGTGCTATTTGGAACTTTGTCATGCCAGGTAATGCGAAAGATACGTCGGAGACAGCGCATATGAAAGGTGTTCAACTTTCTCCTGCCGTGCATAGAGGGTCCAAGACTCACTACAGTACAAGTGTGTGCTCAGGACACAGGCTCTATAGACCTGGATCTTTGTATGTTCCTTATTAAGCCATACTCTTTTTGTAAGTCTGGAGAACGTGGTAGCCGCTTTACCAATACATTTATTCAGCTCAGTATCTAAAGAGAGAGTATCGGCTATAGTTGAACCGAGGTACACAAAGTCATGAACGACCTCCAGTTCTGGTGCAGAGATTGTAATACAGGGAGATAAATCCACGTCCTGACCCAAGACTTGTGTATTTTTCAGGCTGATTGTTAGCCCAAAGTCTTGGCAGGCTAAAACCTTGCTATCCTATCCTATCCATCTGCAGTCTGCTCAGCTCCGTGTCTATGACATCTGACTTACGTAAGTCATCTATTTCTTGTAAATCGTCTGAAAGACCGGGGGTCATTGTCCGAACATTCTAAGTGCCCAACTTCAGGGCTAAAGTTTCCTTATGTTTGTTGCATGGTGCAAAGTTATCAATCTGCTTGTTGGCTTTGACCTTAAATCCCACGCACCCTGTGAGGTTGGCAGACTGTGGTGGGGCAGCACCTTACTGGCTGGGGGCTGCCCTGCTTAAGACAGGCAGTAGGCGCCCAATGAGGTATGATGACCTCTCTGACCGTCAAAAGTGGCCCCTGGCGTCATGCTCTACGCCAATCGAGCAAAGACTTATAACCAGTAACTACCACTTCCCGTGTTGTTTCAATGCTGTATGCAAAGCTGGATTGTCCTCTTCAGTGCACGAAGCCTCAGTATATTAATATGGAGGATAAACTGTTACCAAAGCAGCAGGTCCCCCCTCTCCACATTGCTGGAATAGTCCAATGGAACAGCAGAGCCGATATGATTAGTTCCAGCTACATCGCAGGAGTTATCAGAACGTGATTGTACACAATCATGAACTCCTTCCAGGGCTCTGGCTCCAGATTTTGCCTTGAGGTTGACTCCTGAAGCCTTTTCCAATAGTAGATCTAGCCACAAGGCAGTGGAGGTTTGTAATCAAAGTTTCCCTTCTCCTAGAAGATGGTTCTGCCATTTTATCTGCCATTGGGGCATAAAGCTCTCTTCTGGCATCAAAAACCATTGACTACCTTCTCCTGTAACCTGGAAAGGAGCCCTTATGAGGTGCTACCAGCCGGGCTAGCTGGATCAAGTGTTTTTTTTTAAGGGAGATATTACTCCTCCAGCACTCCTCATCTCAATAGGTAAGGAATTTTTAATACGTTTGTCGAGCAGGAGCTGAAGAGTTCCCAGAGTTGTTTTCCATGGTGTTGTTGTTGCTGCCACCGCCATCTGCACTATATATATGTATATATGTATTTTGTTGTGTGATTGTATCTTCTCTTTTACGTTCTTTTTGTCCTGCTTCATCATCATCATATTCATCCAAGCTCTCGGTGGCTGGGATGTTCACGACACCTGTCGAGCATCTTTTCTCCCTCAGCTTCCTTTTCTCGATCTGCCCTTTTCCTTTCCAGGCACTGGGGCCAGAGGAGTCTTTGCCCTTGGGAGCCACTTCTCCTCCTCAGGGGAAGTTGGCGCCACGCTGGTTCTGCTTCCCGGGGGCTCTGCCTCCTGCTCTGGTTCTGGCTGCCAGCTGGGGCTCCTTCGGGGTGTTTCTGGCCAGAGGAATGTAATTCCACAGCCGCAACCAGACAACTTACCTGGGGAAACCACAGCCTCTGTAGCCTTCTTACTAGGCAACATCAGAGGAGGATTGTGTGGAGTTCTCCCCACCCCGCTCGGTGACTCTCCTTTGGTTTGCCAGCAACTTTTGCCAGTCCATTTGATTAGTAAAACTCGGAAGGTCAGCAGCCATGTTGGGGCTCGTTGGGAGGGCGCCAAGGAATCGGCAGCTCCCCTGAAACATGGCCACCGGGGGCTATCGGGGCAGCGGTGCTGCCACAACCCATTTCTTGGAAGAGTGGAAGGCTAAGTTAGAGAAGATGCGGGCCAAACAAGCACTGCTGGTCAGGGTGAGTGATGGCAAAGCTGCCACCAGTGGCAGTGGTGTCCGCACTGCCACAGCCACTGCACTTAATAACAATAATGGCAGCGGCGGCATGAATTGCATCTCTCTGGCCAGAAACACACCAAAGAAAGACAAATAGCATGTTTGGTAAACCATTTATCTCAATTACAGAGATTCTACCCAATAATCGCAGTATGAAGAATTTGTGATTGATCCAAGTCAACAAGTGTATTTATATTTGAATATATATTTGAACTTGGAACTCATTAATCTTCAATGTGTCAAATGAATCATAATTAACATTAGAAACTATTTCAGCATTGTGGCCTGTTTGCTTTATAAATTTTATAAAGAAACAATTTTAAACTTACACTTTTATTTAAATTTTACAGATGAAGAAGATACCAATAAGAGCACTCCGGACAACTGAGAATTACCAGCAACTTTGAAAATGAAAGCAAATTGAGCCCTCAGAAAAGCACACAATTCTTCCCTTTCCCCAGCTGGTGAGAGACAAAGGGGAGAAAATCAAGAAGAGATTTCAAACTGGAAAAGTAGAGTATGCAGAACTCAACAATAGATTACATGAAAAGGTCAAAGGAGATTATTTTTTCCATTCAGAGAAAGAGGGAAATATCTAGAGGTGAGTGAGGAGAAAAAAGACAATTGGATAGCCACAAAAGGTAGACATTAATGCAAGCCTTGCCCTGTGAGGAAGAAAACAGTAGCTTGAATCAAAGCTCCATGCAACAAAAGATCACACGTATTTTTGACTCCTTCAGGAACATCAGTGGTGGAAAAGCTCCATAGATGTGCCTATTGTATGAAAAGCATGCATAGCAAATCACAGATTATGCATAACAGAATCCATGCTGGAGGAAAGCCATAGAAATTATCCGAATGTGGAAATGATTTAGTTAGATTAGCTCCATTGTGGTTCATTAAAGGACCCACACAGGAGAGAAGCCTTATAGCTGCTCCCAATGTAGTATTCCAATCTTGTGTTACAGTAGAAGATGCCCACAGGAAAGAAATCTTATAACTGTCCTGATTGTGGGAAAAGTTTCGTTGCAAATTCCCACCTGGTGATACACCAGAGGATTCACACAGGAGAGAAACCTTTTGAATGTCCTGATTGTGGAAAACGTTTCAGTCAGAATTCCAATTTGGTTCAACACCAGAGGACTCATACAGGAGAGAAACCCTTTGAATGTCCTGATTGTGGGAAAAGTTTCATTGCAAATTCCCACCTGTTGGATCACCAGAGGACTCATACAGGAGAGAAACCCTTTGAATGTCCTGATTGTGGAAAAGGTTTCAGTCAGAATTCAAGCCTGGTGATTCATCAGAGGACTCACACAGGACAGAAACCCTTTGAATGTTCTGATTGTGGAAAACGTTTCAGTTGGAATTCCGATTTGGTTAAACACCAGAGAACTCACACAGGAGAAAAACCCTTTGAATGTACTGATTGTGAAAAAAGTTTCAGTCGGAATTCAAGCCTGCTGATTCATCAGAGGACTCACACAGGAGAAAAACCCTTTGAATGTCCTGATTGTGGGAAAAGTTTCAGTTTGAATTCCAGCTTGGTTAAACATCAGAGGACTCACACAGGGGAGAAACCCTTTGAATGTCCTGATTGTGGGAAAAGTTTCAGTCAGAATTATGACCTGGTGAAACACCAGAGAACTCACACAGGAGAGAAACCCTTTGAATGTCCTGTTTGTGGGAAACTATTCCGTCAGAATTCCAGCCTGGTGAAACACCAGAGGACTCACACAGGAGAGAAACCCTTTGAATGTTCTGATTGTGGCAAACGTTTCATTTGGAATTCTGAGCTGGTGAAACACCAGAGGACTCACACAGGAGAAAAACCCTTTGAATGTCCTGATTGTGGGAAAAGTTTCAGTCAGAATTATGACTTGGTGAACCATCAGAGGACTCACACAGGAGAAAAACCCTTTGAATGTCCTGATTGTGGGGAAAGTTTCAGTTTCCATTCCAGTTTGGTTAAACACCGGAGGACTCACACATTGGATAAACCCTTTGAATGTCCTGACTGTGGAAAAGGTTTCAGTTTCAATTCCAGTTTGGTTAACCACCAGAGGACTCACACAGGAGAGAAACCCTTTGAATGTCCTGTTTGTGGGAAACGTTTCAGTCAGAATTCCAGCCTGGTGAAACACCAGAGGACTCACACAGGGGAGAAAGCCTTTCAATGTCCCGATTGTGGGAAACGTTTCAGTCAGAATTCCAGCCTGGTGGAACACCACAGGACTCACACAGGTGAGAAACCATTTGAATGTCCTGATTGTGGGAAATGTTTCAGTCGGAATTCCAGCCTAGTGATACACCAGAGGACTCACACAGGAGAGAAACCTTTTGAATGTCCTGTTTGTGGAAAACGATTCAGTCAGAATTCCAGCCTGGTGAAACACCGCAGGACTCACACAGGGGAGAAACCCTTTGAATGTCCTGTTTGTGGGAAAAAATTCAGTGAGAATTCCAAACTGGTGAAACACCAGAGGATTCACACGAGAGAAACGATATGAATGTCTAGATTGTGGAAAAAGTTTCAGTCGGAATTCTGATTTACTGATCAGTGCTGAAATTCAATTTTTTTTACTATCGGTTCTGTGGGTGTGGCTTGGTGGGCGTGGTGTGTGGCTTGGTGGGCTTGGCTTGGTGGGCGTCACAGGGGAAGGATACTGCAAGGATACTGCAAAATCTTCATTCCTACCACATTGCAGGGGGAGGATATTGCAAAATCTCCATTCCTTTGAATGTCTGGATTCTGCGAAAAGTCACCATTTCAACCATACAAATGACCTATAAGTAATGTAGGTTTACACACAGGAGAAAAAGTCAAGGAAATCCACATTAGGCAAAAGGTGATGAGTTTAGAGAAGGCTTAAATTTCATTTTTGATTTGTCATTGGAAGTGTAGATGAGAAATTGACTATTTAAGTTCCGTCCTGATTCATTTTACTGAAATATATCTCAGAAGTAGACCTGTGATTGGAGAGAAAAAATGGTAAATATTAATTTGATAAAGGTGTACTGTCTGGTGTTTTGTGTGTGTGTGTGTGTTATCAAGCAATTCCCTCTCCCCAGGATCCCGCCAAGCCTTTCCCTCTCCCACAGGGTCCCTATAGGCATTTCCCTTCTCCCCAGGGTCTCCACAAGCCTTTTCCCCACCCACAGGGTCCCCAAAGACTTTTTTCCTTTCCTGCTACATCCCCGCAGTCCTTAGGCCTGACTCCCACCCCACCAGGCCTCACAGCCTCCTCTTCTCATTTGAAGATCTCTGAACCTCAAGTTGGTGAGGAAGGCCAGGACACGCATCCCAGGGCCGGATGGCTATGTCCTGGAAGCAGCCGTTATTTTCAGTGTGCCCGGGATTCAACCCTGGGCCATGTGATGGACTTGTGGAAGGAGCTGCCATTTTGTCACACCTCCCTCAGGGCCAAAATGGCGGCTGCTTCTGAGTCATTGTTGCATGGGAGAGGGAGAAACTGCTCTGTTTCGCTTCTTAACACTGTGCAAACTGCATTATGGGATTGTGGGTGCACTAAAAATCATAGTTGCCTCCAGGAGGAATATTGAGTTGAGGAGAAAAGGGATTGTGGCTTTCATGACAGGATCTAAAAGTTTTATTAGCAACTCCTGCTGTGATCTCATTTTCTTGGAGGTGTCTGCTTGTTTCCCTTTGATGGCTGGTGGGTGATAGCAGCACTCTGACATTTCTATTGCATCCCCTTTGGTGGTGGATATGAGGAACAAGTTGAACAGTGGAAAATCGTTCATTTTTAATAATGCATTCTGTAATGTAAGGACTATCACTATCTTTTGGCAAGGAAAAACTTGGGCAGCGTCAGTGTTGCTATGAATATTAGGGCAAGGCAAGGCAAGGCACTCAGAATGGCCTCAAACTGCCAGATGTACAGTGAATAAGTTTAATAATAAAATTATAACACTAAGCCGTTTTCTCAATAATTCTTCAGTGGTGAGGTCTCCACACATACATTGGGTTTCTACCACTCTACAATTGTTAATCTACATGAAATCTGTCTCTTTCGCATTCTGCACCTCTATAACCAAACTGTCTTCAACTTCATTTCCCTCATTATAAATTTAAATTTTCAGTTTCAATAGTACCTCAATCCAGCCACTCTGTGCCTCTGATGTGAGCTGTAATTAGGCTTCTGCCTCTTAATTTGTTGCATTGCTATTTACCTCAGTCCTAAATTCTATGAAAGAATGACATTTCTTTATGCAGAGTTAAAAAATTAGAATGGCTAAACTGGATCTGTTTTGATTGGCATTCTTAGATTCAGGGCTTATCTTCTCCAGCATTACCAGTCTGAGACAACAAAATTAGGATATTTCAAATTGGACAACTAAGGTTTCCCTTGTAATTTTACAAATATTTCTTTTGAAACATTTCTTCTACCATATACAATCAACCCCTCTTTTTTAGACCCAGTTTTCTAGGCCCTGCTGCATATTGTTCTCTCTTTCTCTGACCTAATGGAGACTTCCATGCAGGCAGATTTACAGAAGCATGTGGCATTTTTTCAGATATAAAATTTTCTCCTTCAGGAATGAATTGGCGCTGTGGGTGCTCTTGGATGCAGCCCTGGCCAGCAGAAATGAAACTGGCTCCCTTGGAGTGTCTAGCCTCATAGTGCTGCCATGTCCTAAATCCTTGGGCACTACAGGAAATCTGTCAAAGTTTTGGGATTGTGGGAAAGACCCTACACCCGGAAGAATGAAATATTTTGGGGAATATTAAGAGGCAGAATATATTCCCCCAAAGGAGAAATGGAGAAACAGGCTTTTAAAGAAAGCCGTCTTTCTTAATAGACCCCAGCAGATATTTTGTATTCATTAAGAAAGACTGGGCCAGCCAATTCACAACTTAACAGACTTTCATCTCCAGCGATGGCATTAACATTTACATTCTCCACCACCCAAATTCTAAGAACAGGAGTTTGTAGAGATTCTCAGTCATCCAGATCATGGTTGTCCCAAAGGTGCTGTTTCAGGTGGCAACTGGACTTCCTTGTTTTGTTTGTTTTTTCTTTTGAAGATGTTTTGCTTCTCATCCAAGAAGCTTCTTCAGTTCTGACAGGATTCCATTCCCCACTATCCTGTCACAGATGAAGAAGCTTCTTCGATGAGAAGGGAAACATCTTCAAAAGAAAACAAAGAAGGAAGTCCAATTGCCTTCTGAAAAGCACCTTTGGGACATCTAAGAACAGGATATAATAGGATTAACCCACCACCATTAGAATAGCAAAACAGAGTTCACTACATTATACAACTCCAGCAGCATCACAGAAACCTATAAAAATCCATCCACTCATTCAGCCAGTCCGTCAGCTGCCCTGGAACCACAGGCTGGTTCTGCTCATCAATAAACGGACCTCCTTTCTTAAACAGCCTCCATTTATTCCCAGCTTGGAAGTGGACCTGGATTTTTCTTCTAATAGGATGTAGAGCAGTTTTGATCTCCACTGAAAGTCACACCAAAAAAAGATCAGGAATCTCTAGATCAGCTTTTTACAAAGAAGCACCCTCCAAGGGTTTTGCCCAAGGTGCCTGCCTCGGAATAATCAAGATGGAAATTTACCTCCTCTGGAAATTGGGAAGGTTGTTCAGAGAAATTCTTTAGGCTGTGCAAGAATGAGATAAAAAGATACTACAGGTAATCCTTGACATACAACCACAATTGAGCTGGACTGACACAGAAAGGGGGGAGGGGGCAGCCTATTCTTCAAAGCTCCTGAGAGTAGGACGAGAAGGACCAGAGGGAGACTTATCAGAAAGGGAACGCCTTCATAGGTAGAGACGGGACGAGCCTGTTTTACCGCCTCCTATCGGGAGATGGCGGTCAGATGGGCAACATCAGCGGCGCCTAGGAAGCCGTCGCTACAGAGGAATCTGGGGCTGAGCCTTAAGGAGTTAAAACCATCAAGCACTGCATTGCGAGAAGGGAGGGGAGGGAAGGGCTGGATCTACCGGATCGCTCACGGGAGGAAGGTGGTGCGCCGAGTGGCTTCTCTGCTCTTCCAAGAGCCGAAGCAGCAGCTGGTGGGTGAGTGGAGGGCAGGTCGGAGGAGAGGCTGGGAGCAGGAAAGGCTGCTTGATTTCCTCCGCTGCGTGGAAGCAGAGAAGCAACCGGAACATAGAATAGAATATAGAAAAACAGAGTTGGATGGGACCTTGGCGGTCATGACTAGATCTACCCAATTCCTACAACTGTTCTTCATATGTTTTCGCCTCAAGCCCCCAGTCATGTTTGTTGCTCTTTCATTCCTTCTTTAGGCATCATTTTATCACTTAAAGCCCCCACATCTCTAAAATTAGCACGGAAGGTTTGACTGTAACCATTTTGGGTTTTGGGACAGCTTTCAGGCAGAAAACACATGGATTCTCCACATATATACATACTTGTAGGAGTGTCTATTTGTACTTCTCTCTGTATGCATCTATCTAAATTGTATAATCCATTCCTAGGACTTCTAGATATATTTCATAATAACCCTTTGCAGTGTTAAGAATTTCTTTTTAACCAAATATTTTATTAATTCATCAAAATGTAAAATACGGAAGTACAAAGAAGAAATAAAAATAATGGAAAAATGGAGGAAGAGAGGAAAGTGTAGGGGAAAGGGGAAAGGAAAAAGAAAAGCATTGTCTTTGACTCTTTTGGTGCAGTAGAATAATAATATAAAACCTCAACTGTTTACTTTTATCTGATAATATGAACTAGCTACTTGTATAACAACAAACGTATTTAATCAACAAAACCCAAATCAGACTTTCATTTTTTTCTATCTCAGGAACAAAGTCCAAAAGTGGTTTCCATGTAGAAACAAAATTAATCCTGTTCTTTTCTTTAATCAAAGCAATCAATTTAACCATCTCTGCTAACCATCAGATTTTGCAGCCATTCAGCCATTGTGGGAATGAAAATATCCTTCCATTTTTGTGCATATAGCATTCTTGATGCCAACAATACATATAACATCGAAGTTTTTTCAATTTCTTTATCTAAAAGAAAACTTTCTGGTTTTATCATTATTTTCTCTGTAAGAATCTTCTGTATTAAGATATGAATCTTAATACAATATTTCTTTGTCACATGTCCACCATAAATGATAACATCTCTTATTTACATTTCCAACATTCAAGGTGCCTTATACATTCTTGAGAATTTCTTCAATGGTAGATACCAACATCATAAAACCATTTGGTATAGAGCTTCCTGCCTGAGCAGGAGGTAGGACTAGAAGACCTCCAAGGTCCCTTCCAACTCTGTAATTCTGTTACATTCTTCCAGTGTTCAAGCATTATATTAAATCCAAAGTTCTTTGCCCACTGAATCATACAATGCTTTACATACTCATTCTGCAAGTTAAGTATCAGGGTTCCAAGTAACACCCTCAACCAATGAAGATTCCAAGGCAGGCAATTCCTCAAAGTTCCAATTTATTGAAGATGTCATATTGGCACACCCACATGTCCATCACACGATCCAATCACTCCACCTTCCCAACTGGAGACATCCCCCGTCAGGCCTATCCAGGTGGAGGCTGAACGTCCTTGACTTCCAGAGAAAAGAATGTTGTTATGGCTATCTATCTCAACCAGCACACAATCCCCCCTCTGATTTCCAGGCACTAAATGTGGCAGCCGTTAAAATCCAAAAGAAAAGATGGGTCCCAGGGCTGATATTCAATTTCAATAGCAGCTTATAAACCTTAGCAGTAATATTTTCAACAATTTATTTCCAAACATCCTTCTGAATCCAAATGCTCTTTAGATTTGAGGATAGGGTCACAATAATTGAACGATATTATTTGACCAAAAATCCACCAATCTAGCCTCGCCACCATTTCTTTTCTAAAAAAACTTCCTGGGGAGACACCCCAAAAAGGAAGGCACGTCTAACAAAGTGATGATTAAAATGAACATTTGGTTTAACCGTATCATACCATAAAGAGCTGTGCCATCAAAACCTTTATTCATGCCTGTCAAGTTCAAGGAACCTCTTATTTTGGAGAGTCACTCACTCTTTTTGTCAGAAAACAACAGGCATGAAAGTACAATTTCAAATTTGGCAAACTCAAACGTCTTTCCTTAGTACCTTACAATAATTTATGTTTAATTTTTGATTGTTCCCTTGCCATATAAACATAGAGATGTCCATCTGCCATATTTTCAGTTATAACACTTAAAGTATGAAAGAGAAATAGCATGTTTGGTAAAACATTTATCTGAATTACAAAGATTCTACCCAATAATTGCAGTATGAAGAATTTGTGATTGACCCAAGTCAAGAAGTGTATTTCATGATTGAATGTATATTTGAACTTGGATCTCAGTAATCTGCAATGTGTCAAAAGAATCATAATTAACATTAGAAGATATTCCAGCATTGTGGCATGTTTGCTTTTTACTTGTAATGTATACTTTTTTCACGTCTTCTGCAACCATTATATATAGAAACAATTTTAAACTTGCACTTTTATTTAAATCTTACAGATGAAGAGGATACCAATAAGAGCACTCTGGACAACTGAGAATAACCAGCAACTTTGAAAATGAAAGCAAATTGAGCCCTCAGAAAAGCACACAATTCTCTTTTCCCAGCTGGTGAGAGACAAAGGGGAGAAAATCAAGAAGAGATTTCAAACTGGAAAAAGTAGAGTATGCAGAACTCAACAGTAGATTACATGAAAATTATTTTATTCCATTCAGAAAAAGAGGGAAATACCTAGAAGGAGGGGAAAACCCTTTGAATTTGCTGATTGTGGGGAAACTTTCAGTCAGAATTCCAACGTGGTGGTACACTAGAGGATGCACACAGGAAAGAAATCATACAATTGTCCTGATTGTAGCAAACGTTTCAGTTTGAATTCCCATTTGGTTCAACACCAGAGGACTCACACAGGAGAGAAACCCTTTGAATGTCCTGATTGTGGGAAAAGTTACAGTCAGAAGTCCAGCTTGGTGGTACACCAGAGGACTCACACAGGAGAGAAACCCTTTGAATGTCCTGTTTGTGGGAAACGATTCAGTCGGAATTCCAGCCTGGTGAAACACCAGAGAACTCACAAAGGGGAGAAACCCTTTGAATGTCCTGATTGTGGGAAAGGTTTCAGTCAGAATTCAAGCCTGGTGATTCATCAGAGGACTCACACAGGAGAGAAACCCTTTGAATGTTCTGATTGTGGCAAAGATTTCAGTTTGAATTCCAATTTGGTTCAACACCAGAGGACTCACACAGGAGAGAAACCCTTTGAATGTTCTGATTGTGGAAAACGTTTCAGTTGGAATTCCGCTTTGGTTAAACACCAGAGAACTCACACAGGAGAAAAACCCTTTGAATGTACTGATTGCGAAAAAAGTTTCAGTCGGAATTCAAGCCTGCTGATTCATCAGAGGACTCACACAGGAGAAAAACCCTTTGAATGTCCTGATTGTGGGAAAAGTTTCAGTTTGAATTCCAGCTTGGTTAAACATCAGAGGACTCACACAGGGGAGAAACCATTTGAATGTCCTGATTGTGGGAAAAGTTTCAGTCAGAATAATGATCTGGTGAAACACCAGAGGACTCACACAGGAGAAAAACCCTTTGAATGTCCTGAGTGTGGGAAAAGTTTCAGTCGGAATTCCATCCTGGTGGAACACCAGAGGACACACACAGGAGAGAAACCATTTGAATGTCCTGATTGTGGCATACGTTTCAGTTGTAATTCCAGTTTGGTTAAACATCAGAGGACTCACACAGGGGAGAAACCCTTTGAATGTCCTGATTGTGGGAAAAGTTTCAGTCAGAATTATGACCTGGTGACACACCAGAGGACTCACACAGGAGAAAAACCCTTTGAATGTCCTGATTGTGGGAAAGGTTTCAGTCGGAATTCCATTCTGGTGAAACACCAGAGGACACACACAGGAGAGAAGCCATTTGAATGTCCTGATTGTGGCAAACGTTTCAGTTGGAATTCCAGTTTGGTTAAACATCAGAGGACTCACACAGGGGAGAAACCCTTTGAATGTTCTGATTGTGGCAAACGTTTCAGTTGGAATTCCAATTTGGTTCAACACCAGAGGACTCACACAGGAGAGAAACCCTTTGAATGTCCTGATTGTGGGAAAAGTTTCAGTCAGAATTCAAGCCTGGTGATTCATCAGAGGACTCACACAGGAGAGAAACCCTTTGAATGTCCTGATTGTGGAAAAGGTTTCAGTCAGAATTCAAGCCTGGTGATTCATCAGAGGACTCACACAGGAGAGAAACCCTTTGAATGTCCTGATTGTGGGAAAAGTTTCATTGGAAATTCCCACCTGTTGGATCACCAGAGGACTCACACAGGAGAAAAACCCTTTGAATGTCCTGATTGTGGGAAAGGTTTCAGTCAGAATTCAAGCCTGGTGATTCATCAGAGGACTCACACAGGAGAGAAACCCTTTCAATGTTCTGATTGTGGCAAACGTTTCAGTTTGAATTCCAATTTGGTTCAACACCAGAGGACTCACACAGGAGAGAAACCCTTTGAATGTTCTGATTGTGGAAAACGTTTCAGTTGGAATTCCAATTTGGTTAAACACCAGAGAACTCACACTGGAGAAAAACCCTTTGAATGTACTGATTGTGAAAAAAGTTTCAGTCGGAATTCAAGCCTGCTGATTCATCAGAGGACTCACACAGAAGAAAAACCCTTTGAATGTCCTGATTGTGGGAAAAGTTTCAGTTTGAATTCTAGCTTGGTTAAACATCAGAGGAGTCACACAGGGGAGAAACTCTTTGAATGTCCTGATTGTGGGGAAAGTTTCAGTCGGAATTCCATCCTGGTGAAACACCAGAGGACACACACAGGAGAAAAACCATTTGAATGTTCTGATTGTGGCAAACGTTTCAGCTGTAATTCCAGTTTGGTGAAACACCAGAGGACTCACACAGGGCAGAAACCCTTTCAATGTCCTGATTGTGGGAAAAGTTTCAGTCAAAATTCCAGCCTGGTGAAACACCAGAGGACTCACACAGGAGAGAAACCCTTTGAATGTCCTGATTGTGGGAAATGTTTCAGTCAGAATTCCTACCTGGTGATACACCAGAGATCTCATACAGGAGAGAAACCCTTTGAATGTCCTGATTGTGGGAAAAGTTTCAGTCAGAATTCAAGCCTGGTGATTCATCAGAGGACTCACACAGGAGAGAAACCCTTTGAATGTCCTGATTGTGGCAAACGTTTCAGTTTGAATTCCAATTTGGTTCAACACCAGAGGACTCACACAGGAGAGAAACCCTTTGAATGTTCTGATTGTGGCAAACATTTCAGTTTGAATTCCCATTTGGTTCAACATCAGAGGACTCACACAGGAGAGAAACCCTTTGAATGTCCTGATTGTGGGAAAAGTTTCATTGCAAATTTCCACCTGTTGGATCACCAGAGGACTCACACAGGAGAAAAACCCTTTGAATGTTCTGATTGTGGGAAAAGTTTCAGTCAGAATTCAAGCCTGGTGATTCATCAGAGGACTCACACAGGAGAGAAACCCTTTGAATGTTCTGATTGTGGGAAAAGTTTCAGTCAGAATTCCAACCTGGCAAAACACCAAAGGACTCACACAGGAGAGAAACCCTTTGAATGTCCTGATTGTGGCAAACATTTCAGTTTGAATTCCCATTTGGTTCAACACCAGAGGACTCACACAGGAGAGAAACCCTTTGAATGTCCTGATTGTGGGAAAAGTTTCAGTCAGAAGTCCAGCTTGGTGGTACACCAGAGGACTCACACAGGAGAGAAACCCTTTGAATGTCCTGTTTGTGGGAAACAATTCAGTCAGAATTCCAGCCTGGTGAAACACCAGAGGACTCACAAAAGGGGGAAACCCTTTGATCGTGCTGATTGTGGGAAAAGTTTCTGTCATAGGTCCAGCCTGTTGATACATCAAAGGACTCACACAGGGGAGAAACCCTTTGAATGTCCGGTTTGTGGGAAAAAATTCAGTGAGAATTCCAAACTGGTGAAACACCAGAGGACTCACACGAGAGAAACAATATGAATGTCCAGATTGTGGAAAAAGTTTCAGTCAGAATTCTGATCTACTGATACACCAGAGGAGTTATACAGGAGTGAAGCCATACGAGTGACCAGAGTGTGTGAAAAGTTTCACTTACTGTTCTGACCTGGTGAAACACCAGAGGGCTCACACAGGAGAAAAACCATATGGATGTCCACACTGTGGGAAAAAATTCAGTCAGAATTTCAACCTGGTGTGACACTAGAGGATGCACACAGGAAAGAAATCATATTACTGTCCTGATTGTGGGAAACGTTTCATTACAAATTCCCACCTTGTGATACACCAGAGGACTCACACAGGAGAGAAACCCTTTGAATGTCCTGATTGTGGGAAAGATTTCACTCAGAATTATACAGGAGAGAAACCATACAAATTACCTTTAAGTAATGTAGCTTTACACATAGAATATAATAGAATAGAATTTTTATTGGCCAAGTGGGATTGGACAGACAAGGAATTTGTCTTGGTGCATATGCTCTCAGTGTACATAAAAGATACGTTCATCAAGAATCATAAGGTACAGCAGTTAATGATAGTTATAGGGTACAAATAAGCAATCAATTATCAGTTCTCAGGATAATTGCAAAGCCTTGAGCTCCCAACGAAAAGGCTGCAAATTAAGTTCTGGCAAGCAGTCTTTGTTGCATGAAACACAATGAGCAAAATCTCCAGAAAAAGGACTGTTGTCTCCTACAACAACCACTCCCCCTTCTTTCTGTTTATTCCCAGGGAGGAGCCATTCAGCATTTGCTTCCTGAGTGGACTCCTTGTCCTCCTTTTTTCACCTCTCCTAAGTGCTCTGTGCATATCTGCATCCGGAACAGGCCTCCCCTGGCAGCTGGGGGGCCACAACAAGGAGCCACAGGAAATCGTTTATTGAGGCAGAATATTATATTTCCCAAAAGGAGAAATGGAGAAACAGGCTTTTAAAGAAAGAAAGCAGTCTTTCTTAATAGCCCCCAGCAGATAGTTTGTGTTCATTAAGAAAGACCTTCATCTCCAGTGATGGGATTAAAATTTACATTTTGTACCACCCAAATTCTTTTTTCCCCCCAAGTTTTTTATTTTTTATTTTTTTACAAACATATTGTTATGTGAACAGTGTGACACCGGAGTGTCTTACATTTTGGTACAAATAAAACAATATTCTTCATATTTAATACAGTTGACATCTTATATAGTTTTAGTAATAATACACCTATTTTGTTCAATTATAATCTTTCATTATTTGATTATTCGATATTTCAGTATGTTATTTTTATGCCAATCTCCATATACTAAATGTCACTCCTTTTACTACAAATAAAATATTAATAATCATATTTATTGTATTTAAGACTTATATAGTTCTAATAGTAATACACACATTTATATTAAATTATAATCTCATTTTTAGTTATGCCACTGTTATATTTAAATATATTCCCTTTCTAGTCACATTTTACTACAAATATAATAATATCATATTTACGTTTGACATTACATAATTCTAATAATACACATGTTTTTGTTAAATTCTAATCTTTCCTTATTAAGTTGTTCAATATTTTAGTATGTTGTTTTTATGATGATCAAATTCTGAATATCATTCCTTTTACTACAAATAGAACGTTGGTAATCATATTTGTTACATTTAACAAACTTATATAGTTCTACTAATAATACATATATTTATGTTAAGTTATAATCTTCCATTGTTTGATTCTTCAATATTTCAATATGTTATTTTTATACCCATCACCATATTATTCAAACATATTCAAAATTAACTGTCATTAATGTTATTATCACACTTAGATCTCCAAGAGCCAAGTCTTTCCAGGATTTTGGGAATATGTTGTACCTTCCTTTGGCAGCAGGTGGCAATCTTAAATCAGATTTCAATATTAACCATTTTTATCCAATTTTACTGGAATACTCCAAAATATAAATATGGTTAGCTTTTTATGTAAATAACTCTAGCATTTTAAAATGCCTATCCAAAACAAACGCCTGTCCAATTTGAAAATCCAACTTTCTGTATTTTTAGCAAATTTTCTGTTTTCTTACCTTTGATTCTTTTTCCTTCCATTTTAAAGTTTTACTCAAGGTGTTAAGTCGCAGCCATTTTAAAAATAATTATGAGTCTCTCTTTTCCTGGATATTCTTTTGGAGTTACACATTAAATAAAAAGGATTCTTCTCACCCAGTTCCATACAGTGTTCACCAATTCCGCTCCAGTTAGGATTAGAGGGCTAATCCTACCTTTGTTGGATTTTGGGTGAGGGCATTTGGTTAGGAATAGACCTAGCTATCTCTTAAGTGCAGACATCTGCTGTGGGCTATTGAGGAGGGTGGGGGCTATTAAGAGTGAGTTTGTTTCCTGCCTAAAAAAACATGTTTCTCCATTTCTCATCCAGGGAAATATATCACAGGCGTTCCTTTCCAGGCAAATCAAACTCGGAAACAAGGTTACTTGCTGCAGGTTTTAATGCGGCCGCAGTCCGGCAGGACTGAGTTTGGCAGATACAAAGTCAGCGCTGGGAGCTACTGCCAGCGTTGTAAATAGCTCTGAATTAACATAGGCATGCCCACGGCCCAGTCCACCCCCAAAGCCAGCATCCGGCTGTGTTTATTCCTCCTCTTGGGTCTCCCTGGCTATCATGGCGCAGGTGCAGCCATTAGGAACCACAGAAGCTACGAAACGGCGATTCACAGTCCTCCGCCCTTCCACTGTGCCACCATCAGCACCACTCAGCTGATGGAAAAGGGCCCGCTGGCCAAAGGAGCAAGAAGCCGTTGGGAGCACCTGGGACGTCAGGTGCTGAAGCCACGCCACTCCCGCAGCCGTCACGCCGCCCCCGGCAGCCATTTCCCCCATACCCCCCAGATATGGCAAGCCAGGGCTTGACAACGTAATATTCTGCCTTTTTAATATTTCCTAAAATATTTCATTCTTCTAGGAGAGGGGTGGGTGCTAACTTCTGTAAGAAGAAATATCCTTCTGGGTTCAGCTCCAAGTGGTGAAAGACACTGGAAACATGGAGACTGCTTGGAAAGATGTTTTGAGTTTCTGCCTCTGGCCTATTGACAAAAGGGGGGCAGGCAGGAAGGTGGAAGTTGCTTTGTCTTTAAAACATGCTTCTCCATTTCTCATCCAGGGAAACATAATATTCTGCCTTTTTAATATTTCCCAAAATATTTCATTCCTCTAGGAAAGGGGTAGGTGCTAACTTCCTACACCTATAAACATCCATCCACTCATTCAGCCAGTCCGTCAGCTGGCCTGGAACCACAGGTTGGTTCAGCTCATCAATAAACAGACTTTGTTGCTTAAACAGCCTCCATTTTATTCCCAGCTTGGAACTGGACCTGGATTTTTCTTCTAACAGGATGTAGAGCATTTTTGATCTTCACTGAGAGTCACACCAAAAAAGGATCAGGAATCTCTAGATCAGCTTTTTACAAAGTAACACCCTCCAAGGGCTTTGCCCAAGGTGCCTGCCTTGGAATAATCGAGGTGGAAATGTAGCTCCTCTGGAAATTGAGGAGGTTGCTCAGAGCAATTCTTTAGGCTCTGCAAGAATGAAGATAAAAAGATATGTAGGAAGTTAGCACCCACCTCTCTCCTAGAAGACTGAAATATTTCAGGAAATATTAAAAAAGCAGAATATTATATTTCCCTGAATGACAAATGGAGAAACATGTTTTTAAGCAGGAAATGGACTCACTATTAATAGCCCCTATCATCCTCACTTAAGAGATAAAGAGATTGCTAGGTCTATTCATAGGCAAATGCTCTCACCCAAGATCCAACAAAGGTAGGATTAGCCCTCTACCCATCTAGCAACAGAACTCTCCACATGGCGGCTGGGAAGATTACATCACACAGCAAGGCTCAACCAAGCATGGGACTCAGGACAGCCTACAGATTGCCCCTGCATGGCCCCATGGGAGTCATGCAACCAATCAGACAAGCTCAAATTCAAAAGCCCAGAGAGAGTATAAAATTCAGGCACTCTCAGCATCTCTTCCCTTTTTTTTCTTCACCCAACATCTTCAAGGCATGCGATCCTGTCCACCATTAACCTTCTTTCCAAGCAACTTCCATGAATCCAGTGTCTTTTTCCCCACTTGGAACTGAACCCAGAAAGATATTTCTTCCAACAGATGCTGCAGGTAATCCTCGACATACAACCACAATTGAGGTGGGCTGACACAGAAAGGGGGGAGGGGGCAGCCTATTCTTCAGAGGGAGACATATCAGAAAGGGATCCAACCTAGAATCAAGGAGAAACTTCCTGTCAGTCGGAACAATTGATCAGTGGAATGGTTTGGCTCCAGAAGTTGTGGGTGCTCCATCACCCGTGTTTTTTTAGAGGGGACTGGAGAGCCATTTGTCCGGAACAGTATAGGATCCCTGCATGGAGTGTTGGTCCCTTCCAACTCTTATTCTGTAATTCTTTAATAACTTTATGAGCGTTTAAGGCTCAGCCTGTAGCTAATCTTCCCAAGTTAAGAAGGGTCACGTTCCACTATTTCACTCGCATCGGCTGCCAGGAGTGGAAACTGGCTTTGAGGGCGTGGAATCGGTGAAAACGTCTTGCAAACGCCTTCACAGGTGGAGACGGGACGAGCCTGTTTTACGGCCTCCTATCGGGAGATGGCGGTCAGATGGGCAACATCGGCGCCTAGGAAGCCGTCGCTACAGAGGCATCTGGGGCTGAGCCTTAAGGAGTTAAAACCATCAAGCACTGCATTGCGAGAAGGGAGGGGAGGGGAGGGCTGGATCTACCGGATCGC